ACTCCGTGAGTTCGAGCCCCGCGTCGGGCTCTGTGCTGACCGCTCAGAGCCTGGAGCCTGTTTCAGATTCTGTGTTTCCCTCTCTCTCTGACCCTCCCCCGTTCATGCTCTGTCTCTCTCTGTCTCAAAAATAAATAAACGTTAAAAAAAAAATTAAAAAAAAATAAAAATAAACATTAAAAAAACCAATGCCGAATGTGGCGCCTGGGTGACTCGGTTAAGCGTCGGAACGAGTCGTGATCTCGTGGTTTGTGAGTTCGAGCCCCGCCCCGGGCTCCGTGCTGACAGTGCAGAGCCTGCTTGGGATTCTCTCTCCCTCTCTCTCTGCCCCTCCACCTCTCTCTCTCTCTCTCTCAAGATAATAAATAAATAAACTTAAAAAAAAAAATGCTGAGTCCCATCCCAAACTAAGTCCAAATGGGGCACTGTGAGCCCCCACAGGTGGTTCTAATGTGCAGCCAGGTCTGAGAACAAGGACACAGCCCAAGCCTCTTCATACCCCAGGACACCAAGCCAGGAAGGGAAAGGGCTTGCCCGAGGCCACAGCAAGTGGGAACAGATAACAGTGCCCTGACCTCACCAGGAAACCAGCAGCTGACCAGCCAACACGCTTGCCCAAGGTCAACTTCTGGTTGACTATGGGCTGGACACTCGACTAGGAAGTCAGAAAACTGGGTCTGGTCTCGGCTCTGCCACCATTTGGGTGACCCTGAGTGGTTCATGTCATCTCTCTGGTACTTGGTTTCTCCGTCCATAAAAGGAGGTTGGGAATAGCCATTCAGCAAAGTGATGGTTTGCCAAGTGTGGGCCTCACAGAGGTTACATGAAGACCACAGGGCGGCCAGCCGCGTTGGGATAGCGTTCCTTGCCATTCTCCTCTTTACCGAGCTTCCTGGAGGAGGTGGGCTTTCAGAGGGGTTCTAAAAGGCAGGAAGGGAGAGAGGGGGCTTGGTGCAGCCAAGTAGGGACCTCAGAACACAGGCCAAGCTGAGGTATTCAGGGGCTGCCCTAAAGGGGTGAGTATGGGGGCGATTTCTAGGGACCTCATACCAGCCAGTCAGCTAGCTAAGAGTCTGGGGAGAGGCGGCTTACCTGATGGACAGCAGCGGAGGCTGGGTGATTTCAAAGACGAATTTCTCCACTGGGCGGTGCTCTTTGTCCAAAATTACCACCACCACTTTCTCGACATCGTTCTGCAAGGACAGGAATCCCCTAGTCCAGGACCAGGTAGCCCACCCACCACCACCACCTCCCTCCCTGCCCAAGGAAGGCAAGGGCATGCTCACAGCCCTTCACAGTTTCTAGGCTGAGGGTCCCTGAGAGCCCGGAAGGGGCTTTGAGAACTTCAAGTTGGCATCGCTGACATGAGCGGTACAGGCTGGGAGGGGAGAGAGTGTCCAGGCCCCATGGGGGTTCCAGGACATCTCAGAGAGCGGGACAAGATAAAAGGAGGAAACCCTCAGGGGGCAAGCCCAGACAGAACTTGGGGGCAGGGAGAGGAACAGACGTGAGAAGAACCCAGAACCCTCTGGGGCAGGCTCTACTTGACCAACTCCACAAAACAGGGCTCCCGGGCCCAGCATACCCTGAATGTGGCCCACGTGCCCTGAGGTCTATCCTGGGGCAGGGGTGGTCTCCAGGGAATAGGAGATATGCTTTGGGGTATAGAGTCATAGGGACCCCGCACGGTCCCAGCATCACCCTGTCCTGGAGCACTGGAGGAATAGACTTGGCGTGAAGTAGGCTGGAGCCTGGTGCCCTCACCTTCTCCAGCAGTGGCTTGACACAGTGCAGGGTGTCCTGGATATACTGGTTCAGCTCCGGGTGGCAGGACATCTGCACACAACCGCACGATGGCTGGTGAGGCCCAAAGCACCAATGGGGAAACCACCCAACAGCCCTACCTCCAGGAGCCCAGGGAGAGAGGCCAGCAACTCCCTAGGGCTCCCTACCCAAGAGACTGACTTCCCATCATGGGGCTGAGAACTGCGAACTATCCACACAGAACGGAGAAGAATTCAGTCTCAACATTAGCACTCGATATAGCATCAGGGGTTTCTAAAGTGGGGTCTGCGGGCTCCTCTACAGGCTGAGAAGTCCCTAAATTGTGTGTATTTGGGCATACAGGCATTTTTCCCAGAGAAGGGATCCAAAATTTTAATCAATTTTCAAAAATTGAGAATCTGGGACTAAGAGCTATGTGGCCTCAGGTAAATCACTTAACTTCTCTGAGCTTTAATTACTTCATCTGTGAAAGGTCTCGCAAAGAAAAAATGATGAGTAGTGAGATAATCCCGTACAACACAGAGGGTGCACAGTAAATGCCATTCTTTTTCCTTTTCCTCGTATATCCTTCAAGCTTCCACCACGTTTCAGTATTGGGTCATTCATTTATTCTAATGTTTACTGAGTGCCTTCTAAGGGCCGGCACTTCTACAGACTGGGGACAGGGTAGCATTTGTTTACTGCTTTTGTCTGCCTTTTAACCTAAAACAACCCCTTACAATGAGGGCAGAGAGCAGGGGTACCTGAGGTTTACAGGGATCCCCTCCCCAAACCAATCATTCGCCAGTCCCAGGAGTTCTTTAAAATACAACCATGCCCCAGGGGCAACTCTAACCCGAGAGTCTGGTCCCTAACTTGGGGCAAGGGGAACTCCCAGTTCAGAGGGATGGAAAGAAAAGTCCCTGCAGTTGTGGCTGGGAACTGAACGGCAAGGCCAGGCCGCTGGGGAGTGAGGGGGCTCAGCCTGAAAGCGGAGGAAGCGTTCAAAAATCCAACCTCTACCCACCTTGAAGTTCGGGGATGACCAGAGGTGGGGGCTCACCTGGACAGGCACGTTGTACTTCTTACGCTTCTGGAAGATGCCCACCGGGTAGACCTCGCGCACGTAGAGGATGAGGTGCACGGCCACCTCCAGGAACTCGCAGAGGACGTCGGCCACCACTGTGAAGGGGCTGAAGCCGGTGAGCTTGGGAAGCCCGCCGGCCCAGGCCCTCCCTCGCCCCCCCACCCTGGGTCCGCAAGTCCAGCCTCCCTACCTTGACCAAA